TGTTTTTTACACTACCATTGAGAAATTTTAACCAAACTATTTTACAGACTTTTCATTAAGACCCTAAAGAATAATATCAACTTGTGGAAAATGGGCATCCTATGACCCCTTTAACACCAAATGTAAAGCATATTTATGTTATAAATGGCATACACGAGTAGCTAAAGACTTATACAGGTTACCTCATCTGTACAGGGAAGTGCAATACTGTATCATCCAGATAAAAAGCTATGAAATCCACACCAAGATAGACAGAACAAAAGGAAACAAATTTCAGTAGACAAGTTGTCACATTAAAACTGTTCATATCAAGCGTGATGCAAATTATCGTGAAATGTTTGCATACAGTATCACTCTTTGGCACACACTCACGAAACTTGTGAGGTGTTTTCTGCAGAGCAAACAGAAGATAACTGACCTATTAATTAATTAAATACCTTTTTCCCTTTGTGTGAAGGGATCTATAGGATCTATGGGAGTTTAATTCTTATTGTTTGCTTAATTTTATCACCAACCAATCACAGTCAAGGAAGTCATCCACCTCCTTTAATGCAAAACACAAACCATCACACCATAGCAGTTACATTCTCATGTAATGGAACAATAAGTGTAAATAAGAGTGATGTAAGAACAATTGAAAGTATAATGATAATAATAAGGGTTTAAAGGGGTCATAGGATGCTACATGCACTTTTACAAGTTGTTTGAACTGAAATGTGTGTTGGCAGTGTGTGCACACAACCACCCTATAATGATAAAAATCCACCCAGTGTTTTTTTTTTAATCTGGTTAAATGTTTTCCCCTTTCTCAAATCGAGCCGATCTCAGATGCCTGTCTGTGTGACGTCACACAGACAGGCCCCTCCCACGATAGATTGATTGACAGTAGAGTTTCAGCACAGACTGGACTGGTGTCTTACCTTAGACCCGCCCTGAGTGAGCTGTCATCAGTCCACCATTGTTTCACCGCCGGAGCAGATGTAGACAAGAATGACTCCTAAGCGATTGAGGTGTTCTGTTGTTGGATGTAATAATGAACATAGCAGTCGTCATTTACTCCCGACATCTGAGCCGCTGAAGACGCAGTGGATTACGTTTGTTTCTGAAGGGAATGCTCCCCCGATCTACATAAATGCGTCTATGTTCGCGTGAATCATTCGTGATCCAGCCTCATCTACAGAAGAAGTGAGTATAATGTTTTGTAATGAATCTTTGCAAATCGCCTTTCCTAATAATGTGCTAATTAGCAAGTTTCACAATGAATGCGGCTGAAGTAAATAGTCTCTCTGAGAGCAGCTCGGAAGAGGGGGCGGGGCCAGCATAGCTCATTAACATTTAAAGGAAAATGCTACAAAAACGGCTAGTCTCTCTGAGAGCAGCTCGGAAGAGGGGGCGGGGCCAGCATAGCTCATTAACATTTAAAGAAAAATGCTACAAAAACGGCTTGATCTGAAAAGAGCTGTTTTTGACAGGGTAAAAAAGGTGTTTTTTACACTACCATTGAGAAATTTTAACCAAACTATGTTACAGACTTTTCATTAAGACCCTAAAGAATCATATCAACTTGTGGAAAATGGGCATCCTATGACCCCTTTAAAGTTCATAATGAATATACTAGTAGGAACACTACTGTTTAAAAGTTTGGGTTCTTTTTTTTGTTCTCAGAACGTTCAAAGCATCCAGTTTATGAAATGTTTTAAATAATTAATTAAATTAATTAATTAATTACAGCTCAAATAAAACATTTCTGTACGGAAGAATTAATATACACTACCGTCTTTCTTTGTTCAAAATGTTTTAAAAATGTCTTTTCTTGGTTATGTGAACTTTATAGAAAACAACAAGGGGAATGTTTGACTTTATCACTGTGCAAACATTAACCTTGTCAGCAACTGCTTCTTTTTGCTCTGCTTGTTTCTATGGCTTGAACATCTAGAAAATAACTTTTTCAAAATGCTGTATTTTGCCAGCTTGACTGGTGTAGGCAAGATGGTGCAAGACAGCAACCTGGTTTGTGTTCCACCTCCGGACATACGGTACTTCCTCACTCTTTACTCCATCCTGAAGAAGCAGGAGAGTGGCATGTGGTTCTTGCAGGCTCTTGAAGGTGATGTTCGGTCTGACCGTCTGCGCCATCTTCCTCTACGTGCTGCGCAGGAAACTGAGGAGAAGAGTTAGGGAGTTCAGACATATACAGGAGCTGTTCAGAATAATGCAGTCTGTCAGAGTTCAAACCAGACTCATTTCTAAACATATTAATTAGAAGCTGCTGGTTAAGAAGTGCTGTGGGGTGGTGTTATTTTCTGTGCTTTAATCTTTATTAAATGGGACTTTCTAAATTGCAATTAAAAAACTATTGCTTTGATATTAGATATGCATATTTTACAAACAATATTATAAAACATGTAAATGATTAAAGAGCATGCACATTTCTCTAGTTTGCATTAAATGCACATGTACTACTGTATCTGACCAATAGATGGAGCTAAATACCTGTCTAGCTGTACCATCGCAGTTCAATCTTAGAGGATCACTATGGGTTGGTTAGTACTGAGATAACCATCGACATAATGATTTTAAACCATTAAAACCACCAGAAATATTCAAGACCTCTCTAGCTTGATAAAATCACATAAACTTCTAAGACACAAATTATTTATGTCTAGATTGTAATATTTTATAGACTTACATCATTCAAGTATCTACTGTATAAATCATGTTATAAGTCTTTAGGAATATTACTATGAATATGAATATAAATATGACTTTGAATTAACATTAACATTATATGATGGTAGGTGATGTTCTTAATAAAAGCATTACAGAAGAAATCTAGCTTTATATTTTATATTTTCTTTTGCATTGTAGCTTTACTACACATTATAAAACTGTTATTCATTTTAATAAAAACAATGTTAAAAATGTCACTCACATAGTCATTATCATAATATATTAAGCTCAATTATTATATTAATTCCTGTAATTCTGTAAAAACACATCATCGCTGTATTTTATGGTAAAGTTGTGGTGAACGCAGTAGCCAGTTTTTTTTTCCCCCAAAACATATTTCACAGAACAGTGCCAGTCTCCCTTATGAGTTTTGCTCAAAGGCACAATGGTGATTCTTTTATTCATTTCAAGGAATAGTTTACCAAAAAAATTACAAATTTCTGAAAATCTACTCTCCCTCAGGCCATCCAAGATATAGATTAGTTTGTTTCTTCGTCAGAACAGATTTGGAGAAATTTAGCATTACATCACTTGCTCACCAATGGATCCTCTGCAGTGAATGGGTGCCGTCAGAATGAGAGTCCATTTTGTTTCTTACAGACACACAGTTTTACAGAAACACAACATCAAAAGACATTAACTGATGGAGACTGGAGTGGTGTGGATTACTTGTGGATTATTGTGATGTTTTTATCAGCTGTTTGGACTCTCATTCTGACGGCACCCATTCACTGCAGAGGATCCATTGGTGTGCAAGTGATGTAAGTTTAAATTTCTTTTCTGTTCTGATGAAGAAACGAACTTATCTCATCTTGGATGGCCTGAAGGCGAGCAAATTTTCAGCATTTTATCTTTTTTGGGTGAACTATTCCTTTCTCCTCATGGGATTCGAACCCACAATCTAAGCCATGTCACCCATATGCATGTTTTAAGTTCTTACTCAAGGAAAATGCTTATACAGCATGAATCGACCCTAAACGTATTCAAATATCTTTCACTACTAAGCCACAGCACCCACGTGCAAAGACACAATTGTGACAAGCTTCTGGTTGGCAATGATGGTAAGTCACGAATCAACCCTAGTGGGATTCAAACCCACATCCTTTTGGACATCTTTAACCACTAAACCACAGCACCCAAGAGCTGCAGGCAGCGGTGTGAGGTGGAGGGAGGGGGATGGAGCTTCTGCTTGCAGCACCGAGTCTGAGTGTCGTCTCCCTGCTCTCTGAGGGTCCGCGTGTGTTTTTGCATCGCGCTCCTGTTTTGCATCTACTTCAGCTTTTCCGAATGACTCCTGCTCATCGATAGGAAAAGTGAAAGTGGCTCCCGTAGTATGAAGGTAAAATACAGCTGCATCTGATCGTGACAGCTGAGATTCTCGCTCGCCGTTCGGTTGCAGAGCCCGCGGCTCGTTAGTTATCGATTATTCCCGTATCTCGTGATCGATTATTGCGAACGGGATCATGTCAGAAGTGCTGCCTTACGATGAGAGCATCTCTCATTATGGTGATGATGGAGATGAAGAGCAGCTATCCCTCACCTGTCGCCTGCAGAACAACAGCAGTAACTTTTTCAGTGCTGCGCAGAACAAATGAGCTCCGAAACTCGGACAGATCGGACGCAGTAAGAGAGGTGAGAAAACTACGTATTTACGTTGCTGTAGGTGAAAGAAAACTAAGTGCGTTTTCTAGTCTCAAAAGATATATTAACATTGTGATATTCAACAAACTAAAAAAATAAATAAAAATAATTAATCAGTCGAACTAATGCTTCGTTTCCACTATTCCCGTGTCTTAAATATGCAAATTTATGGCATCACGTGATGATGTCAGAGTGATGCGTTTGCATTTACTTGCCTGCTTGTGAGTTAATGAGTTTTCATCTAATGGCAAATTGTTTCGTTGTCTAGTTAAAAGATGGATAATTGACTAATAGAAACATTTTTTAATTTTAACATGTAGAAGTATAGACATACAGAGCCATATATACATAAACTGTACATTTTAGGTGCTGTATCAGCATTCTCTATAGCACAAAAGGATTATTATTGAAGAATTGTCTAAAAAGAACAAAAAATACACTTCGATAACCCCCCCCCCCCTCCTCTCTCCTATACAAGATCATTTTACATACAAAATAACATAAAACTGAATGTAAACAGTCAAATCTTAAAAAGCAACATGGTATTGTTGGTATTAATTTTAATCCTTATTAACAAATATATACAAATATAATTTGGAAAGTTATCAATATGTATGATACATTTCCAAATTATATTTGTTAATTAGGATTCAAATTAAAACCATTGTGGAGCTACGTGCCTGTATGGCCCTATATAAAATATATAGCCTATGTTTGTGCAATCCCTAGTTGCTAAGAAATTGTTCTCAGACATAATTACATAATTATTATGTTTTGCATTTGGATGCATATTTAAGTATCAAAGACTACTTTGTCTGATGTTATTTTAAACGTTGATTTCAAGTGTCAGTTTTTGCATTATCATTACAGTCAAACCTATAAACCCTTTTTTCGCAAACTACATAGGCTATAAAAGCTTGATCAGTCACATGAAAATAATACAACTAAATACCGATTCAGTGCGGTCTTTGTACGACGCTCTGCCCTCTGTGTGTGAAAGTTTTATATGGGACAATTACAAAACACACTGATCATTTAACAGTGCATTGCGCAATGAATAGATACTGTAATATTGCTCGGTGTGTATTGTAGAGGCAAAATATAAATCATAAACATCATAAAATATAATAAAAACATCATAAAATATAAATTAACATCATAAAATGCTGAAGAGAGTGTGCATTTATATTTTGCCTCTATACACATATAGGCTACACACTGAGCAATATTACGCTATCTGTTCATTTTACAGCGTGATTTCTCCCCTAACAAAATACAGATTTGTACACTTTTTACTGTAGCTGTTTTTTGTTTTTGTCTTTTAATTGGCCTTTGAATTTAGTTTTATTGTGTGGTTTAAAAAAGCGTTACCTTGCTAAAGCATTGACCGAGCTCTTTGGTCTAATGGTGTTGTTGTTGCATGTAAACACAAGATTTACATGCAACAGTCAGACACTAATTTACAGTAGCCTACTCTGATCCAATGGCATAGGAATCGTCAGATTGACAGAACTCTAGCCCAATAGTGTTGGGGGAATCAGTGGGGGCGGCAATCATATTTCAGGGAGGCCTTTACACACTACTGCTGAAATGTAGTGCCAGATATGCGCTCATTGGCCCCCTCTCCAGCTGATGGCGCCCTAGGTGACCACCTAGTTTACCTATGCCTAAAAACGGCGCTCAATATAAGTCATTATTCACTGATAATGTTATTGTATATATATAAACTAGCTTCAGGAACATTATCAGTGAAATTTCACTGCTGCCAAAAAAAAAAAAACACTACAGTCTAAGCTGGTTTGTTGTGTTTTTTGGAGCTTTACAGTCATGGACAACATGGAATTTTATTGTATGAAAAAACTGCATAAAGATTTTTTTTTTTAGATATTTCCTTTTATTTCTTATTTTATTTCCTTTTTTACATTTTATATGAATTTTATCTTGTTTTATTCCACAGATAACAAACAATAAATAAAAGCAAGCACCTTTTTAATCACCTTGTAACATTTTGCAGTTCAATTAAAAGTGTTGAAAAATTGTAATAGTAGAAATATTATATTTAATATTAGTCCATCAAGTATTATCAGGTCATACCAAACAACATACTTAATAATCTTCCTAGAATTAGAACATTTATATTTAAAATAAATGAATTATAGCATGTCATTCTGTTTTATTTACATTAGTCAGTTTCACTCATTATTTCTTAATTTCTTTTAATTTCTTTTGTATATTTTTTGCAGTTTGCAAAGTCTGACTGTCTGATTTTTGTCCTAAAGTCTTGTCATTTCTTCATGGGCATCTCTTGTGATTTCTCTTTCAGTTGTCATAGAAGACGACAGAATTGATGAAGTCCTGAACAACGCGGCAGAGAAGTCATCGGCGGGAGTGTAACGCACAAGGACGTTGTTAAAGCGGCAGGAAATCGTGGGTTATGTGCATTCTGCGTCGAAAGCACTTTGCAGTCCCTCTTAGTATGGGTTGAATTACACGGAGCGGCAGCAGGCGAGGAGAACGTCCTGCTGCGGGCATCCAAATGGAGGAAGTGGGGGTCTGCTTTCTCTCTTTAAGGGCATGTTTCATATCCCTTCTTATAAAGTGACATCCTACACTGGACAAACAAGTCCTGTGTTGTTTAATACATGTGGAGTTGGTCTGTAGTGGTCCAGATTCAGTTTATATTGTGAGAGGAATGCATTGATATCACAAGCACAAATCCGACAACGTTCATAGTGTAATTTGCTGTGAGACTAAGCACTTGGTTTCTCCATATCTTTTTGTGCACAATGAAAGTGTTTTTCACTTTA